CTTTCAATTCTGTTATTCACTCTTCAAAGGTATCTATTTTGTATTTAGTCTATGAATATTCATTTGGCAACACAAGTTCTAAATTTCTTTTTTTTAACTTTTTAGTATTTATTTTCTAATTTTCGGCAGACACAACATCTTTGTTTGTACGTGGTGCTGAGGATCGAACCCGGGCCGCACACATGCCAGGCGAGTGCACTACCGCTTGAGCCACATCCCCAGCCCTCTAAATTTCTAAAATCTCTACCTGATTCTTTGTAAAAAAGATTTTTTTTTTTGTAGTTGTAGATGGACAAGATGCCTTTATTTTATTTATTTATTTTTATGAGTGTGGAGGATCAAACCCAGTGCCTCACCTGTGCTAGGCAAGTGCTCTACCACTGAGCTACATCTCCAGCCCCTGATTCTTCTTTTTTTATTTTTAATATTTTAGTTGTAGATGGACACAATACTTTTCAATACTTTTATTTTATTTATTTATTTTTATGTGGTCCTGAGGGTCAAACCCAGTGCCTCACACATGCTAGGCAAGCACTCTACCACTGAGCCACTACCCCAACCCCTGATTCTTTTTAATATATGAAATATATTACCTTTCACCTATCTTGTGAAGACCTTAATTACACTTAATCTATACCTTGTTTTTAGTATTACTAATTCTGGAATTTCTTTTGGCTTTCATTTTCCTGTTAATGGATAGAGTAGGGAAGAAAGATAATTGTTTTCTTTGCACTCCCTCCCCCAAATTTTTAGATAGAAATAACTCCTGAAACAAAAGACAGATCAACAAGAAAACAACAAATAATTTATTAACATGAATATTTCATGTATACATAGTAGATACCTAGGAAATAATTTTCAAAGAGATGACTTTGAATTCCAGTTTATGTAGTAAATCTTCAACAAAGAACAGTAAAGGTATAGAGAAGTGACAAGACAAAGGGAAAAGACTTTGAGCCTCTAGAGATAGAAAATTGTGGCAGAAAAATGCCAGTTAGTAAACTTGTTATAAAGATTCCCCTCATGCCATCTCCAGGCTGGTAAGCTCTAAAGTTGCCTTCAGTGGTTAACCTTTGTTCTTCTGGGTAGACAAGGGGGAGGCCATCTTTATCTTTGTAAATCTATGTCTTGCTTTTTGGTAAATGGGTCAGGGGCAGAGAGATTCTTTATATGTATGTTTCCTTCTTCTCAATTGCCTTCAGCTCAAAGTAATCCTTATGCCAAAGTGCCATATTTTGTTGTGGCATATTCTGGTCTCCCTGAATGGTTTTTCAGGGTCTTATTTCACAGTGTTGATTTTACTGAAATGTTTTAATAGTTCTTTTATTTTTCTTGGTACCAGAGATCAAATCCAGGGTCTAGCGTATTCTAGGCACGTGCCCTACCACTGAATTACACCCCTATTCCTTTTTATTTTTTTATTTGGAGACAGTGGGTCTTATTAAGTTGCTGAGGCTAGCCTTGATCTTATGATCCTCCTGCCTCAGCCTCCTAAGTAGCTGGAATTACAGGTTTGCAGGGCTCCTGTTTATCTTTTAATTGTATGCTCTTGATCTTATATGTACTGTTTACTGACTGTGCATACAGCACATATGCAGGAAGAGTAGAATGTGCTGATTGGGCTTACACACACACACACACACACACACAAATACATACATACTAATATACATGTATATGTTGCCTGGTGCACTCACTGGTTTGGTCTGGAGTAAATTCACATCGCAGCTGGCTGATGACTATTGTCAAAGGAAGGAAGTGGATGATTGTCACAGCTACTCCAAATGTAGTTGCCTAATCTACTACTCAAAAAAATGGCCCAAGGCCCTCTTTTTCTCTTAATCCATTAACTGACTTCACAATTCTTTTCTTCCGTCCTTCCTTCTTTTCTTTCTCTCTCTCTCTCTCTTTTACTTTGAAGGTAACATGGGTTTCATTATAGAAAATAAACAACAATCCATCTTAATGTTATAACGTTTTCAGGGTAATTTTAAAACGATCAGTAACTTGCCAATTCATAAGTATAAATATATTAAATACATTTATGTTTAAAATTGTTATGATCATCTTTAGAAAACAAAATATCTTAAAATAGTTATGTCATGAGGCATTAAATATCAGATACAAGAATTGCAATATGAAGTGTGAAATTAACAAGGACCAGCAATTTTTCAAATTATCTCTTCAATTAGAAGTCTTCAGAACGATTAATTTTCATCTATCACCATTCTTTTATTGGGGGAGGGGTACCAGAGATTGAACTCAGGGGAACTCAACCACTGATCCACATTCCCAACCCTATTTCCTATTTTAGTTAGAGACAAGGTCTCACTGAGTTGCTTAGTTACTCGCCAAGGCTGAGGCTGGCTTTGAATTTGTGATCCTCCCGTCTCTGCCTCCCATGCTGCTGGGATAACAGGCGTGGGCCACCGTGCCCGGCTTCACCATCATTCTTATACAGTCCTTGTAATTAATTGAATTTTATTCTGAATTAATTTCAGTAGACAGTATTTCTTCCATTTCCTCTTGGGAAAAAGACTCAATTTTTCCATTTTTATACCTGAACAGCTCTTCCTTAGTAAGAAATCCACAATAGCTGGATCTAAAACCTCAAAAACTCAAATAAGGACATTTTCTGAAATGGTCTATATCCTTTTTCCAGAAGTTCTTTGGTCATCACTGAAAGAAAATTTTCAAATCAAACGTATTCCATGAGTTTTTTTTCCTTTTACTTCTGCAAGTAGATCATGTAGCTCTTCTTTACTAGGGTAGCATCCTAATGACCTGATAATTGTCCCAATCTCTCTTCCCTTTCTTTATTTTCCACCATTTCATGTGGAACCCATCATCTCCCAGGTTTTTTCTTAACCCTTCTACTTTTGCAACAGTCTTCTGATGCATGAATTTTTTTTAAATAGTGTTAATTTTTTCTTTATTATTTGCCTTTGGTACAAGCTTAGAACAATATTTTGTACTCCCTCTTCCTTCCAAAATTATAAATATCCACCTATTTTCTTCTTTTACTATTTTTACAATTTCGTTTTACATGCAAATCTTTAAGCCATCTGGAATTTATTCTAATGTCAGCTGTGACTTAGGGCTCTAACTTAATTTTTCCCTAATGGTGAGTTTTCCATGTGTGGGCTTTTAAAATGCAGCTTAACCCTCAGAGCTCCATAAAAGCTTAGGAGTTAAGAATAGAAGAGCTAGGACTATAACTCATTCAGCTCCTAATTTCTGTTCCATTATTGCTCACTCTAGGACTCTGGCAAATCTCAGTGCTCCTCAGGGGAAAAACTCTGAACAATGATTTAAGGCTGGGAGGGCTGAGGCAGAGAGAGGGGGATTTGCAGAGAACCCTCTAGAAGGTTAATACTTGCTGTGTCCCTGCCACTGGGCATAGCCTCATCCAGAAGCAGTCACTCAGCCTTACAAGAAGCAGCAGGGACCCTGAGCTCTAATCTTAATTGTATTTTTTTCCTTTAACCCTCATGTCCTTTCTCTACTGGACTCACAAAGTTCATCTCCAAACCAGTGAGGAGGCTTAGATTCTTCTTCTCTTGGATTTCACTTCATTTTGCACACATTTCTAGAGCAATTTTGTAAATATGTCATGCATATCCATGCATATGTATCATGGATGGATACATCAGTAGATGAAGTTATCAGGAATTAAAAGGATACTATCTGCAAGTTTCAGGGGAAAAAATCCACCAAAGAATATGGAGTTGCTGCTGACTCTATAGACCTGAGAAGCCTCTGTGTGGCCCCTAGTGTTAATGGCATAGTGGTTGGCACCATATACCCTGGCCATGCATTTGACTAAAGCCACCTGAAGCTAAGTCATTCTTAATCATTTTTATTAACTACTAATTCCTGGAGGCACCAGGAGGAGTTAACTTTGTCTCCTCAGGGAGCTGATAACCTGGTATCCAAGTGTGTAGAGGGAATCTTGGAAGACACTTTAGGGAGGGGATAATCAGGCACATCAAAATCTTCAGAGTCTTACTCTGAAGCTCTGGCACATGTCTATAATTCCAGCTACTTGGGAGGCTGAAGCAGGAGGATTTGGGGTTTGAGGCCAGCCTGGGCAACATAGCAAGACACTGTCTCCAACAAAACAAAAATAACCAAAAAAGATAGAAAAAGAAAAACTTCAAGGAGAACAAGAAATGCAGTTAAGTTGGAGAAGGCCCCTTCATCTATAAAACAGTAGAGCCGCACTGAACCAGTGTCTCCTGTGGCTGAATGTCTGAGAGTTTAAACTCTTATTATACCTTCTCTGATTTGATCCTCACAAAAACCAGGTGGCATTATCGGTTCCATTTTGTAAATGACAAAACTGAGTCTTACGGGAAATCATTTACCTAAGGTTCACAAAGAGGAAGCTACTACAATCAAAGTCCAGGTAAAGAAAGGGGTTATTTGGAGAGAATAACCTAAATCTTTGAGCAGTTTGTACTCTCTTCTCCTTTCCCTGTTATTTATTTAGTTGTGTATGTTTTGTGTTTTTATTTGTTTGTTGTTGTTTTTGGTAATAGGGATTGAACCCAGGGGACTTTACCACTGAGCCACATCTCCAGCCCTTTTTATTTATTTTTTTGAGACAGGTACTAAATTGCTTAGTACCTCACTAAGTTGCTGAGGCTGGCCTCAAATTTACAATCCTCCTGCCTCAGCCTCCTGAGTTGCTGGGATTACAAGGGAGTGCCACCATGTCTGCCTCCCCTTTTCTTGGACTAGTTAGTGGAGTTGAACAGAATGTGCAGTTTTGATTCTCTGGGCCTTTGCTCTTGCAGTTTCATCTGCCTGTAATGTTCTTCATAGACCTTCTGTTCTAGTGAAATCATACTTCTGTTAAAAGCTAGCTCTAATGTCTTGTCCCTGGTACAACCTCCACCCTTTCTTCCTCCCATTCCCAGGGCTCCTGAGGCCCTCAAATGAGGGTCTAGCTTAGCCCCTGGGTTCACATTCATATCACCTCTAGGGCCCTGTCTTACCCCAGACTGTTGCTCCCGAAGTGAGAGATGACCAGGCGCTGGCATACATGCTTGTTGTTCTAGTTCATTTTGTGTTGCTGTAATAAAATATCAAAGGGTGAGTAACTGCAGGTAAAAAGGTTTATTTAGCTCACAGTTCTTGAGGTTGAAGAGCATGGTTCCAGCATCTGCTTGGCTCTGGTGAGGGCCTCATGGCAAATGGAAATGCAATGGCAGGAGCTCTTGCAAGAGTGGAAAGGTCTCGGAGACTTAAAGAAAAGATGAGCAGCCCAGGTGAAAGAGGATTCAGGGGAGGTCCCAGCCTCCCTTATAACTACCCATTCTCTCTCTCTCTTTTTTTTTAAGGGGGGGGGGAGAGAGAGAGAATTTTTAATATTTATTTTTTTAGTTTTCAGTGGACGCAACATCTTTGTTGTTTTTTTTTTTTTTTGTATGTGGTGCTGAGGATCGAACCTGGGCCGCACGCATGCTAGGCAAGCGTGTTACCGCTTGAGCCACATCCCCAGCCCATAACTACCCATTCTCAAGGGAACTAATCCAGTCCCACTAGACCTGTGTTAATCTCTTCTGGAAGATGTCTCCCCTGATCCTCCCCTGACCTAATTAGATCCTACTAGGCCCCACCTGTTAAAGGTTTCACCTCAGCATCACCACACCGAGAACCAAGTCTCCAACACACATAAATCTCTAGAGGACATCCATATTCAAACCATTGCACTTGTTAAATAATTGTAGGAAGAAAACCAACAATTTTTTTTTTTTTTTACTGCAGTCAACATATCAGTCTTGGAGCTTGCACTATTCAGAATTTCTCTCTCTGAATCCTGATCTGAAGATTATGTGAGAGGTAGCCACATTTCTTTGAATTCCCATTCCTTTGACTTATCTTTTGGATTATTTCTTTGGGAACCATCTCTTTTTTCAAGTCATTTTGCACTTTGAGAATTAATTAAGAGTTAATTTCTTGATAGAGGTTTTTTAACAATCATGGTAAACACACATAACACAAAATTTACCAACTCAGTAATTTCCATGTGTATAGTTCAGTAGTGTTAGTTTATTCATACTGTTGTGCAAGCAATCTTCAGAGATTTTTCAGCTTGCAAAACTAAAAGTACATCCATCAAATAATAGCTTCCCATTTCCTCCTACCTGAAGCCCCTGTAAATATCATTCTACTTTCTGTCTCTATGAATTGGACTACTTTAAGTATCTCATAAAGCTGGGCATAGTGGCACATGTCTGTAATCTTAGTGACTTGGAAGGCTGAAACTAGATGATTGCTAATTAATTAATTAATTTACATATATATATATATATATATATATATATATATATATATATATATGCCAGGATTTGAGCTCAGGAGTGCTTTACCACTGAGCTACTCAGGAGTGCTTTACCACTGAGCTTATTTTTAATTTTGAGACAGGTTCTTGCTAAGTTGCTGAGGCTGGCCTCAAACTTGCAATCTTCATGCTTCAGACACCTGAGTTGCTGGGATTACAGGCAGATTGCACTGTGCCCAGCCTCATTTTACTATTTAAAATGCATTAAAGTGGAGCTGGGGCTGGGGCTCAGTGGTAGTGCACTTGCCTAGCATGTGTGAGGCATTAGGTTCAATTCTCAGCACTGCATATAAATAAATGGAGTAAACGTCTATCAACAACTAAAAAATATTTTTTAAAATGCATTAAAGTTTTTGGGTTTTGTTTGTTTTTATTTTTGAGGCCTGACCTGTAGTCCCTTGCAAATGACCATAGGCATTTACCAATGGAGTATATTCTAGATTTTCAAGGTATGGATTTTTATTTTTTAATTCAATCTAGTTTACTAATTAATAAATCAAATTCTCTAAATGCTTTTTAATTATACAGTTTATTTATTAATAATGAGCTAAGAGAGGCTGGGGATGTGGCTCAAGCAGTAGTGCGCTCGCCTGGCATGCGTGTGGCCTGGGTTCGACCTTCAGCACCACATACAAACAAAGATGTTGTGTCCGCCGAAAACTAAAAAATAAATATTAAAATTCTCTCTCTCTCTCTCTCTCTCTTTAAATAATAATAATAATAATGAGCTAAGAGAGGTGAATTTAAATTTCCTACTATTATTGTATTTTTGTCTATTTCTTTACATATTTCCTATTATTCTGTTGCTTTATGAATTCTAACATTATATTATTTTATGCATAAGTATTTATAACATATTCATTGTAATTCTCAGTCTTTATTGTTCATGTATTCTTCTGTGTCTTGTTTACTGTTTTTTGTTTTTGTGTGTGTATGTGAATTTAACCATCTCTAATATTAATATTATAACCCCTGTTTTCTTGTGTTTCGGTTTGCATCATGGCATTTGTTTTCTATTTTTTCTTTCCCTTTTATGAGGAACACTGTTTTCTGATGTACCTTTTGCATATGGCAATAGTTGGGTTTTGTTTTGTGACTCTGAGCTGTTTCAAAAGACTGAAATTACTAGGTCAAAGGTTTAAAAAAAAAACAACACTTTAGTAGCTTTTGACTCCCATGACCAAATAAATTGCTTTTCACAGGTTGGACCACTTTATCCTGTCACCAACCATTTGGAAGCAAACCATTTCCCCACCACTGCCAGCACAGCTATTATACTTCTGATTGCTTAAATTTTTAATAGGTAAAAATGGGACCTCATTGTTCTTTCACTTGTTTTTCCTGGCTTCCTGAAGTTCTACTTTAAATAAGTTAAGATAGAAGTATGATTAAGTCAAAATGAAATATCCCTTTTTTAGTATCTCTAATAAGATTGATGGGTAGTGGAGTTTCTTATTGATGATTGCCATGGCAACACTGGATCAATCACTTCCCACAGACTCCTCAGCCCAGCCTTAGGATTTTCCTGGGAGAAATTATCTGTGTTCCTGCTTCCCACCCCTATACTTTGCTTTGTTTCCTTCTGTAATAAATAGGCAACATAACATAAAGGAAAGACACAGAGTTGAGAGTTAGATTGAATGAATTCAAATTCTAGTTATTAATTATTAAATTTGATAATAATAGTTGATAATAATAATACATTTAATTTATTAAATTCTTACCATTTATTAACTGATGATTTATGGCAGTTTGTTACTCCTCTCTGTGCCTTGGTTTCCTGAAATTATATCTCCAAGGATAGTCAAGATTACAGTCGGGTCTGGGGTTGTAGCTTGTTGGTAGAGAGGTTGGGAACATATGTGAGGTCCTCGGTTCAATGCCCAGTACCAAGAGGAAGAAAAAAGAAAAAGGTTACAATAGTAAACTGGGTGCCACAAAGCATGCCTGTAATCCTGGTTTCTCAGGAGGGTAAGGCAGGAGAATAGCAAATTCAAGGGCAGCCTGGGAAATTAGCTGGACCCTGCCTCAACAAACAAACCAAACAACCAAAAAAGAAAATAAGAAAATAATGTCATTTAGTGGTAGAGCACCCTGTGTTCTATCTCCAGGACTGAAAATGAAAGGGAATAGTGCAAAATAATTAACTTATGCAAAGGACTCAGAGGTCTTATCGCTGGCTCTGCCTCTGGAAAATGCTCCTTTTCCTATTACGACTATGAGGCTTTTGGTAGAACTGATTTCTTCCTTATATAGCCCTGCTTCCTTAGCCACTACTAAGGTTTGGTCTTAGGCCAGGGGCAAGATCCTAGCTAAAACAGAGCCTATCAAAATCATTTCTCTGACATTGAGACATGAGATAGGAAGTCTTTGATGCCTCTCTGTGGAAAAAGCTCTCAGATAGAAGACCCAGGCTGCCAAGTTTCCAGCCTGTTGGAGGAAGCTGGGCTTGTAAGAATGAGGCTGGTGAGTGGAGAGAGAAGCAGACATTAGAGAGGGAAGGAGAACTTCGCATTGTTAGCACTGTGATAATCACTGGTTCTGGCTGTTCCCAAATGTATCTTACGAGACAATAAACATCTCGTTTTCTCCATGCTCACTTGCATTGAGTTTCCACCATTTGCAACCAAAAAAGATTTAAAAAAAAATTTTTTTTAAAGAGAGAGAGAGAATTTTTTTTAATATTTATTTTTTAGTTTTCGGTGGACACATATCTTTGTTTGTATGTGGTGCTGAGGATTGAACCCGGGCCACATGTATGCCAGGCAGGCGCGCTACCGCTTGAGCCACATCCCCAGCCCCAAAAAAGACTTTTAATATACTTCTTAAAGTACCTTAGGACAGTAGATTGTGAATTCTCCTGCCTGGCCATCCATCTTTCTGAGAAAAGCAAGAAGTTCTTGCAAGATCCTCCCCAAGATAGACAGACAGACAGACAGACACACACACACACACACACACACACACACACACCGACGCACGCATGCACACACACAGAAGTTGACGGCAACTCCCACTCCAACTGGAGTGGACTGTAGTTTCTTCCCTGCCATCTGCCTGCACATGCCTTTACTTCTCCACACACACCAAAAGACAGCTGCCCCAATGCCCAGGCCTTAGGAACTGTACTTGCTAAACAGGATGTTATTCCGGAAATCTGTGCCCTTCTCTGTACACCCCTTGTCCTTTTTTTCACTGCCCTATTCAGTAACTTCACAAATATATAATGAACACCTGCCAAGAACCGTGTCAGGCCGGGGGCCCCAGAGAGGCAGCAAACAGTCCCTGCTGTTAAGGAAGCCACAGGCTTGTGGCCGTCAGGCTGTCAAAAGACAGCTCCAAGAGAGGCAGTGGGATGAGTGTTGAACAGATGTTTTTGCCAAGTGCCACAGGAGCTGAGACGAGGTTTCGTCACTTGTTGCCTGAGATGATTGTCTGGCTGGTCCACCAGCTTCTCCCAGCCCAGCCCGCCCTGCCTGCTGCTGCCAGAATGTCTTCCTGAAAACAGTTGTGCCAGTCCTTCTTTCTCTCAGGCCTAAGCCTAAATTCCCTAGCCTGCAAAAACCCGAATCCAGATATTTCTGCAACCTAGTTTCTCAGCCCTGGCATCCAGGTTCCCCAATCACAAACTGTCCCCACAAGTCTAAGCAGCCCGCTCACCATCAGTGTTTGTATTCAGCATTTTCCCACCACTGTGTCTCTAGTCTCTGAATGTTTCAATTGTACACACCTCCCAAGGTGTAGGAAGGCAAGTGGATTTTATTCTCCTGTGATGTTCTTGGTTGTCAGGATGGAAAGTTATGTTGAAAAGAATTCTGTGGATATAACTGGACTCAGTGAAAGAATAAAGGGATCAGTTTGCAGAATCTGCCACAGATACCAAATTTGGCGTGTGTGCACTAGGGGTATAATTCAGCAGAAGAACACTTGCCTAGCAAGTGTAATGCCCTGCATGCCAGCACTGGAAACACACACACACACACACACACACACACACACACACAACCTAATAAACAAAAATTGTGTGTGTCTGTGTGTGTGATGATAGTGGTGGGGGTGGGGGGAAACAACACCCTTGGTGTGCATTTGCAGACTTTGTCCTAGTGTTGTTTTAATGTCACCCCATCCCCATGAAACCTTCCTGACTCCTCCTAGTGAAATTAATCTCTTCTTTTTCTGAACTTTCATGATCCCCCTTCTGTGCCTCTGCCAGAGCACAGATGGTTCCTCCTTTTGATGGTGCACATATTTTTTCTGTTAGAAGAGACAGATGGTGTCCTATGGGGTGTGGAACAAGGTAGGGATCCCAAAGCTGTTTACTGAATCTTAGGACCATGTGAAACAACATTTGACCTTCAGCAGGATGGGTGCACAGCTGCTTAGGTGCCTCAAGTTTCCTGTCACGAAGAGCTGGCTTTATACACAGGCCTTTGCCCAGCATAGACTCTGAAGATGGTGTTATAGTGGCCATGTTTTCACTCCTGAATCAATTTCCTGCATGATTGCTGCTGTCTGACCTGTCATTTCCTATCTCCTTATAGGTCTATGACCACTGAGTGCTGGGAGCTCACTGAAGGCTGGCCATTCATTCTTTTACTCATGAAACCACTCAGTGGCCAGTTCTGTGCTTGCTGTTAGGGACACAGGGAAGGTGCCCTACCTTTGAGCTGATCTCTGACTTGAAGAGAGTGGGAAAGATGTTGAAGAAAGCAAGCCAGGATACAAGGGGAGGCGATGTGGGGCCTAAGAAAAGAGCTTAGAGAGTGCCAAGGGGGCACAGCAATAGGCTTGGGGTGGGGGATGTGGTCACTGGAGGTTGTTGACACACCCCCCCCCCACACACACACACACACTCACTAAATTCCTTTTTCCTCTGTGCTCCTCAGTACCTCATAACTGGACCCTTTGACTACCATAGCTGCAAGCTCTGTCCTCCTCAATTCTGGGACCTGCACTGATAGAGGCAGGAAATATTTAAATAGCCTCAGTACATCCCCCCTAACCAGGTCCCATCTCACACAAACCTCAAGAGCTCAGCATCAATTACCCTACCAGATCTAGGATCTGGATGCTGGACTCTCTTGAGCCTCCTCTGCTGCTCTTCATACCTGGGACTCTGGGCCTAGGTAATCACCCAGATTCCTGAACTGCATGGGACACTGGTTTCCCTATCCTCAGGTTATGGTTGTTGCTGTGGGCATCTGTGATGATCTTAAACTATTATAAGCACTTCTAGAACTATTGGCCAATTCACTGCACTGTCCCTTTACCCCCTGGGTTCCCAGCCCTGCCCTAGGGACTTCCCCTACCTTCTACCCACCCTCACTGGCCCCCTACAATCATGTTTAGCTGCCAAACTCAGCTGTAGAACTGAATACCTCTGCTGGCAGGAGACAGGCTGGCTCCAGAAAGCTGGCTGGAGAGAAATGCTGAGGATCATGTTTCTTCAGCTTGTGCCAAATATTATTCACACGTAGCTTTTCAGAAAGATACAAATTGCTCATCCAATAAACACAGAAGGGCTAATCCCAGGACATTTATCAAAGTGGGGGAAGATGAGAGAAAGACAGTTACAAGAGGCCTTTGAGAGCTGGCCTGGTTTGGCTGGCCCACAGGGAGGTGGTGAGACTTCCACGTACTCCTGGGGTTTTCTCCTCAGAGGGTCTGAAACCCAGCACCTGGGCTTTGGGATTTTCTGTCATCATGTCACACAAAGCGTACATTGGTGTATACACTTCCCAGTGGTGAACAACAATGAATAAATCTATGTGGGCCAGGCTGCCTTTGTCACCAAACAGACCTTACCTCTCCTGGTGGCTGTAAGGACGGTATAAGCTGCCCCCACCCAGCATACACAAAACATGCTCGTGCCTCTTCTGTCTTTGAGTTCTCAGTCCCTCCTAACTTCTGGCTGAGGGCCTAACCTCAGAAGCCCAGAGGGAGCAAGAATTAGGTGAGGCCTCTAGAGATAGCCTGGGCCTTCCGTCTACCCTGTACAGGGTCCACACCTTGCTACTGGCATTCTAAAGTATACCCAGTAGAGAGCCCCTCTCTTCCCCAGGAGGAGGAGGTAGTGACTAGATCAGGATGAGGGCATGAAAATAACCACTGGCTTTTATTTGTTCAAAAATTTAAAAAATTAGAGCCAAGAGAATGGTCAGATACAGTGGCACACCTGTAATCCCAGCTACTTGGGAGGCTGAGGAGGCCTCCCAATTCAAAGCTAGCCCTGGACAACTTAGCCAGACCCTTTCTCAAAATATGACAAAAATAAAAAGGGATAGGGATAGGTTCAATACCCAGTACTTTGTGGGAAAAAAAAAAAAAGCTGAGAGAATGAAATTCTCTTTAGAAACAAACTATAACCTCCAGTGGCAATAAAGAAGGGACACTGTGGCCCTCGGGACAGCATGGGAACAAGGTGTCTTCTGACATATTTGGTTCCAACACAATCAGAAAGGCTGAAAGGAGTTCCCAGATAGTATTCCCACAAAATCATGGTAAATATGCCATTCGTGTTATTACTTTTCAGATAAGGTACTGAGAAGTTAGACAATTTGTCCAAGGCCACCCAATTATTTAATAGAAACTTTTTTGAAACTGTTTAATTAGACAGTCCTAAATTGTCTATAGACTTAAAGAAAGGTATGGTAGTTTCAGAAATCAGTTTCAGTGGGAATTCTTTTTTTTTAATTATTTAATTTATTAAGGTTTTAGTTGGACACAATATATTTATTTTACATGTATGTGGTGCTGAGGATCGAACCCAGTGCCTCATGCTAGGTGAGCACTCTACCACTGAGCCACAACCCCAGCCCTCAGGGGGAATTCTTAAGAGGGTGGGGTTTAGAGTTTTGGTGTCCTTAGGCTTGGATTGATATCTTAAGGGTACAATGCTCAGGCAGGATTTCATTGAGGACCTGGGGTCTATGTAATTAGGGTGACTAGCCTCCCAGTTCTCCAGGGCCTGAGAGGGCTCCTGGAATGTAGGACTTTCCACTTTAAAACTGGGATAGTAATGGGCTGGGACTGGGTATGTAGCTCTTGCCTAGAATGTACAAGGCCTACATTCCATTGCTACTACTGCATACATAACAAAAATAAAAATAAAAGTAGTCCTGGGCAGACCAGGACAAGTTGGTCACATATCTGTAACCTAGGGGACAGGGCATGGGTAATTGCCATTGATTCCAGGAACTACCTGAAGCTCAGTCAAGCCTCACACCAACATGGGGACTCAGAAGGTGGCATGCTGATTAAGAAGGTGGGCAGAACAACCACCAGCTGGAAACAGCTTTTCCTAGACACGTGGGCGAGTCAGACTATGACCAACCTCCCGTTGTAGTAAAGCAGGCCTATTATGGCCTTCAGCACTTGATGGGAACAAAGTGCCTTCTGGCAATGACTGGTTCCAATCACAACCAGAAAGACTGAAGGGAATTGCCAGATGGGGATTGCCAGGCAGCTAGTCAGCATGAACCTGGTAGCTTCAAAGGAGGCCAGAAGCACAACATGGTCCTCTCTGCTTGCAGGAAGTTTCTTTTCTGGCTTCTGAAACTTCGTTCCTTTCAGGAATGGTCTACCTACTCTTCCTACGTTGGGGACCCCCACACTGACCTACATCATTAGGCCCTTCTCTTCTCCTCTTGGTCCCCACTTGTATAACGATTTCTATTTGCCTGTCTCTGATTTTGAAAATCTGAAATTCACTTTCAGAAAACCTGGAAGATTTTCAGAAGACCCTGGGTTTTGAGGAGAATAATCCAAGGGCAGAAATTTATGCGAGAATAGGTCTCAGGAAGGACAGGAATGGGGCAAGGAAACCTCAGGAATGTGGGCCCTGCCATCTCTTCCTTTTTATGGCAATTCCTATTTGTGGTCCCTTTCATTCTCAGCTTTCTTTGTTTCTCTGTGCTTTGGCAGAGGGGAAACATTTACATCATCTAAATTCCACCACACCACACCTAAGGACTGACTGGCAATCTTGTATTTCAAATCCTGACTCAGAAGAGGCCATCTCATTGCCTCACTTGGTAGGTGAGGAAAGGCAGCACTAAAATAATGGCTACCGAGTCCCTTTCCTTAAAGGGGTAAAGTTTTAAAGAAAAGAGTCATCTTGTTTTGGCTAGACATATTCCTTTTTTTTTTTTTTTTGGTATCAGATTGAACCAGGGTACTTTACCACTGAGCTACATCTCCAGTCCTTACTTATTTATCTAAATTTTGAGATAGGTTCTTATTAAGTTACTGAGAGTCTTGTTAAGTTGCTGAAGCTGGCCTTGAACTTATGATCCACCTGCCTCAGCCTCCCAAATCATAGGATGTTCACTTTTTTTTAATATTTAGTTGTAGATGGACACACTACCTTTATTTTAATTATTTATTTTTATGTGGTGCTGAGGATCGAACCCAATGCCTCACATGTGCTAGGCAAGCGCTCTACCACTGAGAGGTTCTAATCTCAGTCCCTGGATGTTCACTCTTTATCATCTTTAATACAACTGACATGTGGTTGTGCCTCCCATAATTTCTTCTTTCCCATTTTTTCTCTTTTCTTTTTCTTGGTTCTGAGGATTCAACCCAGAGTCTCTCACATACCAAGCAGGTGTTTTACCACTAAATTCTTGCTAGCTTCCTCTTCCCAGAAGTCATAAAAATTATTTTTGGTCTCCCTTAGTGATTGGTTTGATGTTAATCTGACCTTAGAATATTTAAAAAATTAATTTGGGTAACTGTGATAAGCTATTCATTCACCAAGCCAGTTCTTAAATTCTGTGTCCAATCATCTCTTCATCATAGAGTGCCCTATCATTTTCTCCTTTGCATTTATGATATAGGGTCTTACCAGTCAAAGTATGACTCATAGACCAGAAGCATTAGTATCATCTAAGACCTGGTTTCCTGCCTTACCTTCTCAAGGAATACCTACATTTAACAGTTCCCCAGGCAACTCACATTAAAGTTCCCTAAGTGCTTGGAGAGGATTCTTATCTTATCTCTCAGAAGAAGAGACTGAAAATTCTGAGGGCAGGGACTGTATTCAGCAAACCTCTATATTCTCTTTTCCTTCCTTTTCTTTCTCCCTCCCCCTCTTTTTCTTTCTTTGAAGTATTGGGGATTGAACCCAAGGCCTCAATAATGCCAGCCCTTTTTATTTTTAATTTTGAGACAGGAGCTTGCTAAATTGCCCAGGTTGGATTTGAATTTATGATCGTACTCTCAAGTAGTTGGGATTACAGGCATATGCTGCCACAGTCAGGCTGAAGTATACTTTTTATGTGTGAATTATCTTATTTGTCTTTCTTGTAGGGGACAGAACTCGTCAAACACATTTAAGAGGGTAAACTAATTATATAGCATCTGAGCTTTGCTATAAAATAATCTTGCAGGAGGTGAAAGAAGTTTGGGCTAGTTGTTGGTATTGTAAAAAGTATGGTGGTAAATAGGGAATTATACTATTCTATTTTATATAAATATATCTATTTATATTTTATTTTCCATAATAAAAGTTAGAAGAAAGGAAAAATGGTTGAAAACATTGTAAGAGATCATTTAACTTCTCAAATAAATTTGTTTCCAAGCCCCTTGAAGTAAATCCAAGGTCCTAAGAGAAATTCCAAATGAAATTGCTCAGTCCTGTCAAAGAATTTTGGAGGATGTATGCAGTAGGGAGAAATTTGGAACATTGGTCATGTGCAAATTTTTTTCTAAATTTACAAAAGGAGAAATGATATAATTAGTTTCTTTTTGTTACTTTAAATCAACTTAAGGGGAGAGGAAAAGGAGGAGGAATTTACCAGTGCATATAATTTGTTAAGGTCAGTGGGAGTCAAATATGGCATACCAGGGCACATTCCTCTTGCCTCCTCGTTGGCTTAATTCTCAGGCAGGTTCTCTCACATCACGGCTGCAGTGGTTGAATACTGTACCCCCCAAATTCATGTCTATTCAAAACCTCAGAACTGACCTTATTTGGAAATAGGGTTTGCATATTAAGTCAAAATGAGGTTATACCAGATTAGAGTAGATCCTCAATACAATGATTGGTATATTTTTAGAAAAGGAGAGGACACATTAACAGAAGAGAATCATACATAGAGAGGAGATCATGTGAAGACTGAGTTAGAAATTAGTTTGGGACAGTTACAAACCAAGAAATGCCAAGTATTGCTGTCATAACAAGCTAGAATATACAAGAAAAGATTCTTCCATAGAGCTTTCAGAAGGAGTGTGGCCCTGCTAATACCTTGATTTCAGAATTTTTGACTTCTTAAGAAGTTCTAGGGGAAGAATTGGACATTGCTCAAAAGCCCTCCTTAGACCACATGTTTATCCCTGAATCAATCACTGTGTCTAGAAGGAATTCGGTGCTTTGAGTGCCTATATACAAGTTATATGGTCTGTTGAAAAGCCCATGGTTAGCCTATCCCTACCACATGGAGAAAAGCAGGAGTCTCCTACCAGTAGTCAGGAATACAAGGCAGACATAAACAACACCTGATCCTTACAGGGAGCATGTTAGCCAACCTTTGGCTGCTATAATAAGAATCCTAGATAATTAATTTATAAATAGAAAGGGTTCATTTTCACTCACAGTTTTGGAGGTTTCAGTCCACGATCAGTTGGCCCCTTTCTTTGGGCCTGTGGCAAGGCAGCAAATCATGGTGGAAGCACATGGCAGAGCAGTTTAAAATACTTACTTCTTGGCTAGGAGCTAGTGAAAGAAAGAAGAGGAGGCCAGGATCCTATAATCTCCTTCAAGGGCTTGCTTCCAATGACCTGAAGACCTCCCAGTAGGCTCCATCTCCCAAAGGTTCCCACTAGCACCAAGCTAGGGGCCAAGCCTTTATCACATGGGCTTTTGAGGGGACATTCTAGATCCAAACAACAGCAGGAAGAAAAAGTTGATTCTGAAAACTATATACCTTTATTCAAGAATAGGGTTTTAAAATTTTTGTTTTATTTCATTTTTATTTTTTGGAAGTGGGGACTGAACCCTGAGTTTTACCAACGAGCTGTATTTTTAGAGACTGCTGGTCTCTACACCTCCCATTTCCTTTTTTACTTTTAATATTTTAAATTTTGAGACAGGTTCTCACTATGTTATTGAGGCTGGTCTTGAATTTGCAATCCTCCTGCCTCAATTGCTGGGATTACGGGTGTGCACCACTGTGCCTGGCTGCAGATAGGTTTTGAAAAGATACAAAGGAAATGGAGATTTCTCAGAACAAGCCAAGGCATGCATAATCAGATTCCCTTTCTTGACAGGTCCCTAAACTGACAGATTACAGATCTTCACTTAATAGTCTGTTTGTTGGCAAACTGGGTCTTTAGCAAGGCCTTTAATAATCACTCTTTTTTTTGGGGGGGGTGGGGGGAGAGGTACTGGAGATTGAACTCAAGGGCACTACTCAATCACTGAGCCACATCCTCAGCCCTATTTTGCATTTTATTTAGAGACAGGGTCTCACTGAGTTGCTCAGGGCCTTGCTAAATTGCTGAGGCTGGCTTTGAACTTGCAATCCTCCTGCCTCTTCTTCCCAAGCTGCTGGGATTATAGGCCAGCAGCGTGTGCCATGGTGCCTGACTTTAATTATCACTGTTGTGGATAAAATGTAAAATATGTATTGGATAATACTACAGTTAAGAAGAAAAGCAACTTGCTAAATGAATAGAGTAAATCTTTGTCATTATATTTGTCTACCCCGAGTGTAACACCTGTCTTATTTTCGAAGAATTTTCCAGTGTATATAGTATTAGAAGGCTGAAGTGCCCTTGCTCCTACCATGGATGCAGAACAGGAAATATTCTTTTTTCCCCCCTTCCTGCTAGCTAGAGCTCAAGCATGTGAATTTGGCTCAGCCACACCATTGAGGACTTTGAATTCTTACAGAATTCTGCTAAGTAGCAGTGGTGGTGTAGAAGTTATTCATGGCAGCAATAGCAGTACATGAATAGCATTTAAGTGGTAGTGTTGATTAATTGTTGGCAGTGGTAGTCATAACAGACTAATGTTGTAACTGGCCATGTTTTGCAGTCAAAAACCCTGATTAGGCTAGGTGTGGTGGTACAGCCTTTAATCCCTTTTACTTGGGAGGCTAAGGTAGGAGGTTCATAACTTCAAGGCCAGCCTGAGCAATTTAGGAAGATCCTGTCTCAAATAAATTAATTAATAAAAGTGCTAGAGATGTAGCTCAGTAGTATAATGCCCCTGGGTTCAATCCACAGTACTTACACACACATGTGCACATACACACCACCACAAAATGCTAATTTGCACAATGTCTTTATTTAAAGGATTAAAGTCCATTTATAACAGTGTCTTCACTGTTCTAGAACTTTGTCTTCAGTCCTCTATTTTAGTTTATCGTGAACATCAAGAAGTGAATGTTGCTGGGCATGATAGGGCACCCACAATCATAGTGACTTGGGAGATTGAGGCAGGAAGATTGCAAGTTCAAAGCCGCCTCAGTAACTTAGGCCTTAAGCAAATTAGTGAGACCCTCTCTTAAAATTAAAAAGAAAAAAGAGGGCTGGGGATGTGGCTCAGTGGTCAAACACTCCTGGGTTAAATCCCCAGTACCAAAAAAAAAAAAAAAAAGAAGTGAATGTAGGACTGGGGATGTAATTCATGGTTAAAGCACTTGTTCAGTAAGAACTTGGGTTTGATACTCAGCACTTAAAAAAAAAAAGTGAATGTTGTTTTGAAAGGCACTGAAGAAAGTAAAATATTTGGAGCAATGGAGATGATGGTCCTATTCCATTCTATTGCTCACACCTCAGCTGGAATGATGCATTTGGTCCTAGGTACTACTTAATGCCCAGGTAGTCAAAGCTTGATGGAAGAATGACCAGGACAGAGAAGAAACTCAACCATGAAGCATGAAGAGTAAAGAATAGTGGCAATAATAGGTATTACCACCTTACACAGAAATTGTTTTCAAGTGGGGAGAAGGCACATAGCCAATCTCTTTAAATAACTCAGAGATCATCTAGAAGATAATTCAGTTCATTTTCTGTCTGCAAGGAATAGACCTTGTATCATTAGTAAATACTATAAGGATGGGTTTCAACTTATAAGAATGTTTGATAGCTACATCAGTGATATCAACAATGGAGCTAAGTTATGATATAGTGACCTTCCTGTCAATGGAGGTATGCACACAAAGCTGGATGA